TATAAAATTGAAATCTCAAATCTAATTATTTTATTTAGTCTTGGTATCTTAATAAATTTATTCAATTGATAGTGCAAGTTGAACAATGTTTGATCTTTCTTTGTAATGTTTATCAAGATACTGATAGCTCAATATTTAGAAACCCTTCAATTACGAAGGTTAAAAAGAGATTCTTTCTTTAATTTGCCCATATAAGATACATATTGTTAAGATATCTATTGACATATCGTTCTCTTTCTCTATCTTCTAATAAAAGACTTGACTATTAATATTTTGCGTAATTTAAATGACAAATTTGCAAGATCTGATATTTTTTTGTTTAATTTGTCAAGATAAATTTTCCTTTAATCAAACTCCAACAATATATATATATATATACACGCTTGCATGAAGTGGTCGGGCCGGTATCAGAGTCAGGGTATGGTCCATTACATAAAAAGATGCCTTTTTATGTAACAGATAGCCTGGTGGGCCCAGCTTACTATCAGCCACTTCACGCCCAACAATATATATATATGAAGTGGTCGGGCCGGTATCAGAGTCAGGGTACGGTCCATTACATAAAAAGATGCCTTTTTATGTAACGGATAGCCTGGCGGGCCCAGCTTACTATCCAACCACCTCACCCCCCCCCCCCCCCCCCCTCCCCCTAATATATATATGCTTGCATGAAGTGGTCAGGCCGGTATCAAAGTCAGGGTACGGTCTATTACATAAAAAGATGCCTTTTTATGTAACGGATAGCCTGGCGGGCCCAACTTACTATCTGGCCACTTCACGCCACGCATCCTTCATGGCAAGTATTCCTTTGAAATTTTCAAAAGAATCTACAAGGTTTTTTAAATTTGTAATTACACCCTAATCAATTTATATAATTTCTAAATTACTAATCCAATCATCAAACTCAAAAACAAGATAACTGCAATATTTAGATTATAAATAAATAAGGTCAATGTTATACGAATTTAATTGAATTCGCTATATGTAAAAAATTATAAAGTTTATATTTTTCCCTAAACTTGATGATTTTGTTTTCAATGTAGGAAAAATATCTATTCTAATTGATTTGTTTAATTTAGATTACTTTTAGAAAGTTAGTATATTATTTGGGTTTCGTTATGTAGTTTGATTTCTTTTATTTAATGTGTTTAATAATACTGACAATAATCACTTTTAAAACATCAAATTTCATCGATGTTATCGTTTTTGTATTGAATAAAGTTATTAAAATTTCAATATTTATTATTATGTTAAAAAGTTTATTAAAAAGTTGTTTTTCTCTGATCTATCATGGCATCCATGCTCGTGTGAGGCCATAAAGACGGCCAGATCTGGTCGGTCATTTGGGCCCTGTCGACTGCCAGATCTGGATGGCCATATGGGCCATGCCGATAGCCAAATCCTACTACTCTAGTGATGGCCATGGCCCACTGCGAGTCCACAACAACTTCCATTTTTTCTTTTTTTTTAGTTTTTTGTTCTATTTTTAAATTATTAAACCTTAGTTGTCTTGTCAAAGCATCTTCCATTTACGAGTGAAAATATTACATGATATCGGTTCTTAAAAAAAAAATTGTTTGTTGAAGATCCATGGTGATGTTGATATACAGTGGGTTTGCATGTGGCTTTCTCAATGGTATATGGTGGATTTTGTGGGGTGAAAGAAGTTTGTTTAATTGTAAATTCTACGGTGGATGATGAAAGAATATGTGTTGAGTTTACTGATTTATATGGTGGGTTTAGATGGAGGAAGAATGTGAGACTTTGAACTTAATAATTTTAATTAGATTTTAAGATTATTGGGAAAAAGGGAATATTGTTAAAGTTTTTTAGGTAAAAATAAAATTTAATAAATTTTGTGAAACTTTGATAACATTTAAAAGGTTTGGGATAATAGTTAGATTCTTAGTTTTAGTTTAAAGTGTAAAAATGTCTTTCATAGTTGAACAAACTTTTATTGGTATAAAATTTTGGACGGAATGGGGTTTAGGGTCCTATTTCCAAAATTAATGGGTGCTTAGTAATTATATGAAATGCATGGGGGTTAAAAAAATCTTCCCTTTTTATTGAAAATTAGAGGAAGAAAAATTGTTGGACAATCAATTTATTCCATTATTTGATTGAAATTGTTATGACAAAAATTATAAAAGTTGATGTGTGAATAATGTGAAAGTCTTTAGCTGAGCTTTCAAATCTAGCCATCAATTGATTGAGTTTGTTAAGACCAAAATAGTAATTGACTTGTGAGTTTAAATATCAATTGATATATAAATAAATATAATGGATTAAAAGATTAAGAAAAAAAACTGATTTAAATCAATAATTACTGCCATATCATCATCGCTGATCCTTCTTTATATAAATTTTTTAAAAGCCTAATAATTTCTATTAATATTTTGGCAAATCAATTAAGAAAAAAATAAACTAAAATTATTAGTCATCCCATTTATTCCATTGCTTGATTGAGGTTGTCAACTTGTCTTGACTAAAAAAAGAAAAGTTGACCCCTTAATAAAAAAAAAAAAAACTAAAACTTTGTTCTTTTATATAATTTGATTAAAAATAAAAATAATTAATATTTTTGTTTAATATTGCTTAATAAATCATTGATTTAACCTTCCAAGTTTGAGATAAACTAAACAAACAAAAACTATTGGCCCATTAATTGATTAAGATTATTATGACTATATTAAATAGTATCATTGGCCGTCTAATTTACTCCATTAGTTGATTGAGATTGTCATGACTAAAAACATAAAAGTTGATAGAGATTTCAAATTTAGTTCTATATAAATTAACACAAAAAGAGGAATAAAGAAAAACTTAAAGCAGAGTGAACAAGCAAATTGATAGGTGTTGAGAGAGAGAATTCTCATAATGGAAAGGTTGCTAATTAAGTTGTCATTTTGGGTTGCATTAGTTTCGGTTCAAACATCTGGATTCAACAGTTGTTTTGAGAATGAGAGGATTGGTCTGTTAGATGTGAAGTCCTTCATAAAAGCAGTAAGTGATTTTCAAACGGAAAAAGTTCTTGTTTCGTGGGTTGATGATAAAATGTCTAATTGTTGTGATTGGGAGCTAGTTCAATGCAACACCACTACAGGACGTGTCATCAAACTTTCCCTTGATCATACAAGGCAATCATATAACTTTCCTGATAGACTTTCAACTCTAAATTTATCCCTGTTAACCTTTTGAAGAGTTGAAAAGTCTTAATTTAGCTGGGAATTACTTTGAAGGTTGGCATGAGAATAAAGGTATGAATATTATTTGAGTAGTTAGTTTAAAATATATACTCCAATTAAATTACTTCTGCAATAGTATGACAATATATATTTATTTAGTTTTTAAACTTTTTTCATAATTAACATTCATGTTGATGCATTAATAGATCATACAAAAAATTAAATTAAAAAGCATGCTTATTGATTTGTTAATTAATTGTAAAAGTACTATTTTGATTTGTTAAACAATTTCTATTTTGTCGTCTATTAATAGATCAATAATTTTACATTAAAAAAAAAATTGTGTAAAAATAGATTATATAGGCTATATATGTATGTTGATGCATTAATTGTTTTTCTTTGGATAATATATAAATATATTGAGTCAATAATGTATTGACATTTCTTTTCCAGCATATGATGGCTTCAAGTGTTTGAAACAACTCAACATCTTGGACCTTAGTAACAATTAATTCAATGCCACCTTTTTGTCATACTTGAATAATCTAACTTCACTTACCACTTTGAGTCTTGGAGAGAATAATATGGGAGAAGGTCTGAAATCTGCCAAACAGGGTATATAATTTTAAGTATTATTCTTTAATTTCTTATTAATTAATCTTAATCTTTTTATTTCTTATTCAAAAAAAAAAAAAAATAAATAAATAAATAACTTTTTGTACTAGTGCAGGTATAGAACATATAGTTAATTTTGCTCTTTCAATTGTTAATTCCTATATATGACTTTTTAACCTTTTTTTTTATTTTTTTTTATTTTTGCGGGTTTAGCAAATTTGAAAAACTTGAAAGTATTGGATTTAAGTTTTAATCATATAAATGGATCTCTATCAAGTCTAGGTACCTCCCATGAAGCAATTTTTATTTTTATTTTAATTATTCAAATTTAAAAATTCAATTTAAATTGCTATATAGAAACTTCACCTTGATATTAAAGGATTTTTCTCGTAGATATTATTAATCATTTTCTTGAGATATATTTTTTAAATAGTTTAATGAATTTATAATATCTAAATTGGGTTGGTTTCTCTTCCAAGTAATTAAAATTTCAAGTTGATGATATATAATAATTTACAATTTTTATTTGTAATGACATGATTGATATATATAGTGACAAATTGAAAGAAAATTTATACTCATATTATAGATAAAATTCTAACTGTTCATGTTGGAGTACCCAAATATTTTGATTTTACATTAATGTTTTGTATATAAATATAATATTTTCTTAAAATTAGTTCATTTTCCCAAAATTTTCCATCAATCTTGCTTTTAATTAACTCTAAATCTCTTTTATTATTTGGTACAGGTTTAGCAAATTTGACAAACCTAAAAGTATTAAATCTCGGTGGGAATCAAATCAACAACTGTCTATCAAGCCTAGGTATGCAATATCTATTGAATTTTTGAAGCACTCTTTGCAATATGATAACGTATGAATAAAAATTAATTTTTAAATTTAAAATTTGATTGTTTCTCTTGGCACAGGATTAAAAATGTTGAGAAACTTGGAAGAGTTGGATTTGAGTGAGACTGGAATGAGCGGCGCTCTAACATTGCTAGGTTACAATAACTACAACCATCAAAATATTAAGTTACAATCATCTTCTCAAATTGCTTCAATTTCATATTTAGATATTAACTTAATTATTTAATTTTTTTTCTTCTGTATTTCTACTTTTCTATTTCTTCTCTCGTTTTTTGTTTTGTTTTTATTTGTATAGCAAATTTGACCAACTTGAAAAGCTTGGATCTAAGTGCTAATCAAATCAACACTTCTCTAGCAAGTTTAGGTATGCTATAAATATGACACTTGAAAAAAGTATAATTACAAGTACTCTTGCATGAAATTAAAATTTAAATAGATGACATAACAATCACATATCAATTAATTTATTTAAAAGATTTTATATAACTAAATGATTTATCTAAATGCCAATACTTTGTCCCATCTAGAGATTTTATAATAAAAGAGAGTAGGATATATTACCAATTAAAGAGATCTGTCGCCTCCACCATACCTTCTAACAACGCTGCTGCCTCCCGGGTGACAATCCCTAGCCACTTGACTACTCTGTTCACAGTTGTAACAAGCCCCTCCACCGTCGCCCCTTCCTCTTCAGCCTCCATACTCATCGTCGCCGCCATAGCCTCCACCACCGTCCAGTTCACACCAGCCCTGGAATAACACCAAGCTAGGTGCGATTCCGGCAACCAATGCACCCTTAAACCATTACCACGACAAACAAAAATGCCCAAATTAAACATTATATTAACCCAACACAAGCAACCAGTGCACCCCAAACAACCATCAAATTCACCTTGAAAACGAATAAATCCATGAAAACATTAAACAAATAGCAAGAGAGGGAAAACAAGAATGAAGAGAAAGAAGAAAATAAATTAGAGAAGGTGGTCCTGGTAGAGATCGTAGTGGTTTCAAAAGAAGATGAAGGTGGGGCACTTGGGTTTTTGGAGGTTGTTAGATTTTGGGGATGAGGGAAGGTGAACAGCAGGTATGAAAGAAAATTGGGGCTGGAGGATTTTGGGGCAGTGAGGTGTGGGAGAGAGATAAAAGGGGCTCGACAGTTTTTTTTTCCCCCCTCTTAAATTATTAAAAACTAGTTATTTATTAATTTATACATTTTTCATTTGTTCGAAAAACTTAATTTTCTCTTTTATTTAATAAACTGATTTTTAATAAATAAAATTATAATTGTTGTTTAAGGGTAGCAGATTTTTAATAGAAATTGAAAATAGAAGTTTTAAGTCACTAATTTCCAAGTTGATGAATGTAATAACCATCTATTTCTATTTTAGGTGTGTAAGTAATATTACCCTTTAATAAAATTTGTGCCGAATTTTATTTTATTTTATTTTATTTTTTAAAGATCATGGGTTGGAAAATGTACATTGGCCTTTGGGTTGAGAAAATGTCATTCAGCCTTTTAAAATATTTGAAATCTTAGAGAAGTTAGAAGTTAAATTAATGCATACAAAGGAAAATTAAAAATGAATGAGTTATCAATTGTGCAAATAAAAATTAAAATAGATGATATTACAATCACATAACAAACATGTCAATAGATAGTTTAGTATTTGGCCTAAGGCCCATGAAATAAGTAGTAAAAGTTATATTTTACTTTCACTCTTCTTCATGCAGGTTTAAAATATTTGAAAAACTTGGAAAAGTTGAATATTGCAGAAAATGGAATGAGTGGTTCTCTTAATTCGCTAGGTAACATTAATGACAACCAATAGTTACAATCATCCGATATTTTTTACCTGCTTTTTAAATTCAGTTTCTTCTCTCATTTTTGGTTTTGCTTTTGTTTGTGCAGGTTTAGCAAATTTGACAAACTTGAAAAGCTTGGATCTAAGTGATAATCAAATCAACACTTCTCTAGCAAGTTTAGGTATGCTATAAATATAACACTTGAAGAAAAGCATAATTACAAGTACTCTTGCATAAAATTAAAAATTAAATAGATGGCATTACAAACATATCAATTAATTTATTTAAAAGATCTTCTTTAAGTAGTTTAGTAGTATGGTACTACTATACAAAGATTGAAATATTATCATTTGTATGATTACTTCACTATTCTACTTTCTCATCCAACTCTCTCTTGATGCAGGTTTACAAAATCTAAAAAATTTGGAAGAGTTGGATATGACATTGAATCGAATGAGCGGTTCTCTTACTTCGCTAGGTAACATTAATGACAACCGATATTTGTCGAAGTTTTAGATCAAAATATTTTAATAATCTTGTCCACTGTCATAATACTTTGAAGCCTTTAATTTAAATATGTTAATGTTGAAAATTTTAATAATAACTTGACCTTTTAAGTCTCAAGTAGTTTTCTGAAAAATTAAATCAAATTACTTTTAGTTTTAGCTATTGGACTCAATTAATCTTTGAGAATACATAATTATCTAATTTTTTCTATAATTTCCTATTTGATTTTTAAGTTCTATTTCTCTTTTTCATTGGTGCAGGTTTAGTAAATTTGACCAATTTGAAAAGATTGGATTTAAGTTATAATCAAATCGCAAATGCTAGAGGTATGAAAAATCAAAAAATTGCAAAATTTTCTTTTAATGTTAAAATGAATAATAGCACCTTTATAATTGAAACTTTATTCCAAGTACTGCTTGCATGATATGTGGATAAACAATAATAAAAAAAATGAATTAACTAAACGAACTTATAAAATATATAAAGTGACAATTACTTAACATGTGTATCAAATTAATATACGCTGAAAAGTTCGTATAGACCAATAGTATAGTATTACTCATTAAACTATGTTTCATTGTATTTGCTAGTTGACTCAAATAAATTAATTGAATCATATCAGCCCTATGAATCCGAAATGTTATCGGAGAGTATTTTTGCATTTTAATATCTAATTCTTTCTATTGGGATAAGATTACTAGATAATAATAATTTATATAGATATTAGACAAGGTATGAATAATTGTCTTGTGTACATGCTCTATTAAATAAACATATCAATTTATGTAGAAGAATTTATATACATGGTTTAATAGTATGGCACTACTCTACAAATTAAGATTGGAATATTATTATTTGCATGATTAATTGGTCGAATCACTTCATTGTATATGAGTAGTTGGCTCAAGGCCCCTAACACAAAAACAGTGGGAATGTAATGTATAGTTTGATCTTTCTTTTATCATCCAGTTATCTCTTGATGCACGTTTAAAAAATTTGGAAAACTTGGAAGAGTTATATATGGGATGTAACGTAATGGGTGGTGACTCTCTTACTTTAGGTAAAATATTCGTTGTTTTAGTTGTTGGCCTCAATTAATTTTTTAGAATAATTCTATAATTTCCTATGTGATTTTCAAATTATATTTCTTCTTGTCATTGGTTCAGGTTCAACAAATTTGACAAATTTGAAAATATTGGATCTACAAAGTAATCAGATAAACAACTCTTTGGGAAACCTAGGAATGCAAAATCTAAAATTTTACAAAAAATTTCTTTAATTTTATGTTAAAATAAATAATGGCACCCTTATAATTCAACTTTCATTCCAAATACTCATTGCATAATACGTGGATAAATGACAATAAAACAATCAATTAGGAAGACAATGTAAAATAATAGCATGACAATTACTTAACTACAACTAGTTGGCTCAAGTAAACTAATTGAACCTTCATCTGAAAGAGTAATAGGAGAGTGACCTTTGATTTTGTTTGGTAATTAATTATGATTTTAATAATTTTAAAAAATGTAACAAGCAAATATTACTATTTTTGGTGGTTGTAATGAATTGAAAGAATGCAAAGAAAATATAAAGTAGAAAGGTTATACTAGATTTGAGATTAAATAGATTTAATTAGAGTAATATTGAGAAATTAATTAATTAAAGAGTGGAACTGCATGAAGAAATTAATTATATAAATAAAAATTTGTTTATATATTGATGTGGTACAACTCTTTTGTTGCCACATCACAATATAAAATTAAACTGAAAGAAACTTTCCACACCCTTTACAATTGGTGTACGAAAATTAAAATATTTATAATATTAAAGTAGAAGAAAGCAATCTATAAATTTTGATTATTATAACCTTTTACAAATATTTCATACTTGTTTCAAATTTGTTTGATTATTTATTTTCAGTTTTTATCTCTTTTAATCTCAATTGACAATTGCGAAGATGTTGATCTTACTTTTTCTATAATTTCCAACTATCTTATTTTCAAATTCTTTTTATCTCTTCATTGGTTTAGGTTTAGCGAGTTTGAAATATTTGAAAGCATTGGATCTTAGTTATAATGAAATGAATGGCTCTCTATCAAGTTCGGGTACGTAAAACTTACATATTGTTTTCTAATTAATATAGTATTAATATAAAACTACAACATGATGCATATAAAACTGTTAGACACATTTCACAAATTGTAACGGTGGGCTGATTTCTTCAACTTTTTCATCAGGAATATGTGAGTTAATGGATCTTGTTGAACTAGATCTTATGCACAATAATTTTGGTGGTCAAGTCCCTCAATGTCTCACCAACTTCACCTACCTCAAGGTTCTTGTTCTTTCATCAAATCAATTAAGTGGAACTTTGCCATCTGCTTTTACTCACATGAAATCTCTTGAATATTTGAATGTCCAAGAAAATAACTTTGAAGGAAAATATTCACTAAGTTCATGGGCTAACCATTCAAAGCTTCAGGCATTTGTACTCTCATCAAGAAACAACACGTTTCAAGTGGAAAATGAAAAATGGTTCCCTGCATTTCAATTGAAGGCTCTCAAGTTAACTCATTGCAACTTACATGCCATCCCTAGTTTTCTTCTATACCAATATGACTTATTATCCCTTGATCTCTCTCATAATAAGTTGGTTGGTACATTTCCATCTTGGTTGTTAGTAAATAACACAAACTTGAGAGGAATGTATTTGGGGAACAACACGTTCTCAGGAACTCTTAAGCTGTCCAACACCAAACACAATTCCATTGAAGCTTTGGACGTTTCTCATAACAATTTCAGTGGTCAACTCCCTAAGAATATTAGTAAGATCCTTTCGAATTCCTTATGGCTTCTGTTCATGTCCAGTAATAGTTTTGAAGGCAATCTTCCTTTATCAATGGGTGAAATGAAAGCACTTGAAAGGATGGATTTGTCCAACAACCATTTTTCAGGAGAGTTACCAAGTGATTTTCTCATCGGTTGCTTCTCATTGGGATTTTTGAACTTGTCAAACAACAATTTTCATGGGCAAATATTTCCTCAATATATGAACTTGCCTCAATTGGAGTTCATATATTTGAACAATTAACAACTTTAGTGGAAAAATCGAAAAAGGATTACTAAATTCTATGTCTTTAGAAGCCTTAGATATCTCCAACAACAAGGTATCAGGTCAAGTTCCTAATTGGATCGATAACTTTTCAAACCTCGAGTTTCTTCTAATGTCAAAAAATCTTTTAGAAGGAAATATTCCTGTTCAATTAAGCAAGTTGTCATCCCTTACCATTTTGGATGTCTCTGAAAATAGGTTGACTGGACCCATTACATCTTTTAATTTTTCAATTATCTAAGAGTTGTTCATGCAGAAGAATGCTTTCACAGGGCCAATTCCGAAGTCATTGTTTAGAAGCTCTGAATTATTGATGCTCAATTTGAGGGACAACCAATTTTCAGGAAGTATTCCTAATATGATCAATAAGCATTCAAGTTTACGTGTTCTTCTTTTGGGAGGCAATCACCTGGAAGGTCCTATACCTAATCAGCTATGTCAATTAAGAAACCTAAGCATCTTAGATCTTTCACATAATAGACTTAATGAAACAATACCTCCATGTTTTATTAGGATGATATTTTGGATAGGACAAAGTGATATTCAAAATGAGTATAGGTCCACAAATGATTTGGCACTTGAACAAGCATTCAGGTCTTATTTTTCAAATTACTACCATTCCACTTTATCATTGAGGTCGTTTGAAGATGATTTTCCATATTTATATCATCGCTTTGAAGTGAATTTTTTGACAAAGAATAGGTACGATTCTTACAAGGGTGACATTCTTAACTTTATGACTGGAATGTATTTGTCAAACAATGACTTGATTGGAAATATCCCGTTAGAAATTGGAGACCTTCAAGGAATCAAAGCATTGAATTTTTCCAATAATTTCTTGTCAAAATCTATACCAAAGAGTTTTTCCAATCTAAAAAGTATAGAAAGCTTAGATCTTTCCCATAATAAATTAAGTGGCCAAATTCCTCAACAATTGACTGAGTTAAACTATTTAAAAGTCTTCAATGTATCATACAACAACTTGTCTGGTCAACTCCTAATGAAGGCCAATTCGCTACCTTTGGTGAAAGTAGTTATATAGGTAATTCTGGTCTTTGCATTACACTAGTTAATAAGAGCTACACCAGTGCGCCAACTCCACCTTTGTTACCATCCAATGGAGAAGAAGGAAAAGAATCTGCAATTGATATGGTGGCATTTTATTTGAGTTTTTTTGGATCATATGTCACTATCATATTGGGGTTGTTGGTGATTCTTTGGACCAACTCACGTTGGCATATGCTGTGGTTTTATTACATTGGTGAATGCATTGATTTGTGTTTTTATTGGCTGTCAAAGTATGTATCATGCTAGGTCACAATAGAGCAACTTGAATAATGTTTTTACCTTCGGCGATTGTGACATTTTGTTCTGTTGTATTTGGTTTTCCCTTACTGGAGTTTCATGTTTCCATATGTTGTGTTCAATTTCCATAATTTCTTCAGTTCAAGTTGTTTCCTTGAATTTGGTTTATATATATTGTTTTCTCATAAATAAGGAGCATATACATGCTAATTTAGCTTGTTGCTTTCTATTAAACAATAATGTTTTTCGTTTTTTTTTTTTTTTTCCCACTTATTGCTATGAAGATTTTGCAACGATTTAGAGGATCCATGTTATAGTTCAATGCATTGAAGGATGCCTGATTTAACAATAAAGAAGGACCAATTAGTTCTATTAATATTCAAATAAAAAGATAGCTTGTAAGTTATTATTATTATAATTACCTGTTTAATCTTGGTGAAAATTTGTTATTATAACTGTCATCCGATAGATTAATCTAACATTTCTAAAGGTGATTAAGCCATCAACAATAGGGATGTATACGAGCCAAGCCGAACCGAGCCAAGTATCTCGATACTCGAACTCGGCTCGTGATGAACAGTAGCGAGCTCGAGCTCAAGCCGAGCTTAGTCGAGCTTCAATATTCGTGTTCGAGCTCGAGCTCGCGAGTATAAAGTTGCACTCGAGCTCGAGCTCGCTCAAACGAGCTCGAGCCTAATCACCTGTCACCTCATTTTCTCTTTCTTCTTTTCACCTATCACTTTTTTTTTTTTTTCTCTTTCTCCCCTCATTTTCTCTTTCTTCTTCTCCCTTGTCACCTCATCATTTTTTTTTTCCCTCTTTCTCCCCATCCTCTTCTCTTTCTGCCTTATTCTCTTCTCTTTTCTTACTTCTTCAGATCTTCTCCTTCGTCCTTTTTTTTTCTCTTTCTCCCCATCCTCTTCTCTTTCTTCTTTACTTCTTCCATATTATCTCCCCTATTCCCACCGCCTCTTCTCTTTCTTCTTCTGCTTCTTTAAATTTTCTCCTTCATTATTTTTCTTTCACATTTTAAGCTCGAATGGAACCAAAGATGAATGAAGGTGAAAAAGAAGATGAATGAAGTTGGATTTTTGAAGCGAAAGAAAAAAAAAGAAACATATTAGTTTGACTAGTTTTATGTCCAGTCCGGTTTGACCGTTGATCTGCTACTGTTTAAGTGGAGAGTTAGGACTTAGGACTTAGGGTTGAATGAAAAAATCCCAAATGGGTTTTGAGTTTTTGTCTATGAATGGGTCATGGGTGTTGTTTGTAATTTTGACAACTTAAAAATAAAACAACTTTTGAAATCTTGCAAATTGGCCCCCGAAGCTCGTTTAAGCTCGCGAGCTCGCTTAGCCGAGCTCAGCTCGGATTGAACTCGGCTCGCTACTGTTCACGAGCTGCTCGAGCTCGACTCGACTCGACTCGACTGGTTTCGAGTCAAACTCGAGCTTACAACGAGCCGAGCTCGAGTAGCTCACGAGCTACTCAGCTCATGTCTCATCCCTAATCAGCAGAGATACAAGCTAAAGAAAGGATTGTAAGAGATGTTTGGCAAGTAAGAAAATAAAAAGGAAAGTTGAGAGAAAATGGGTCTACTTATGTTATTAGTAAAAATATGCCTTTACGTTTGAGGATATGTCCCTTTATGTAGGTGAATTTGGGCACGAAAAATAGCATATTATACAATAACATTATAAGCTGAACATTAATACAATTTTGTTTTTCTTCATATGCGGCAGTAGAAGAGTAATAAATTACTTCTCACTGAAATACATACTTGTTCAGGAAACTATATCACGAACCGGTGAGATCATAAGACCATTGGTGAATGAAGGCCAACAATGACTAAACTATTTAACAAAGTATATGAACTCGGTGCTAAAAGCTAAAGAGAACTACAAGTCTAATCAGGACTAGTAAGCTTGGTAATCAACTAGTTCAAAGAAGTCAATTTGAGGCATATACAATAATAAGCTATTTGTCGTTGGAATATAGAAGCAAAAATACAACATTTTATGAGAAATTGACTTGTTTCTAAGCACTTAATAGACAGTTGATTCTACCCAACAACAATTAAAGAATTAAGTAAACGGCACAAAGCACACAATACATACCTGGGTAACATAGCTCCCATACTAGCCCTGAGCAAGAACATAAGCAGATTCCAAAATTTCATCCACTATACATTGACCTTGTTGTTCATCTGAACAATGCTCCAAAACTCTCTATTGAAAAGAAAAATAAATAAATAAAAAGATTAATAGATATTAGTTTCAACAAACAAAATGGGATCTCAAATGAACAAGAAATTGAGTTCTATTACCTGAATAATACGACAACCATATGGGTGTGTCGAGAGCATGGCAACTTGTCCTCGAAAAGCAAAAATAATAAATCCAATTTTTTCCATAGGTACACATTTTATACACTTTTGTACCACATGATTCCCATTCTGGTCATGGACACATCTCATGACATGCCATCAAGCTCAAGGACTAATTCTGCTTTCTGATCAAGCTCAATGACTTTCAAGGCCCTAGATAAAAATAAATAAATAAATTAAATAATTCAAGATTCAAGAAAATGATATTAAAATTTCAAATTGAAGAATATATGGTTATAATTGGAACTCATTCAAGCAAAAATTGATGCATTCTTTATGAGAAAAATAAATTTGCAAGATTAAGAAGATTAACTACGAGCAAGAACATACATACAAAGCTATGATGAAAACTCAGATAGCTTTATTACATCTAACACAAAATTCTGGACAAATTGCCTACCCAACAAAATCTATAATGCAACAACCTATTGCTACAAAGCAACTTTCAAGAATTTCAAAATTTGTCCAAATTTTGAGGCTATTATAAAATAGTTATGCATAGGTAGGACCAGCAGATGTATTGTTATTAGTGGGAAATTCAGACTGAACATATCCTGTGAAATTTGTTGAGGTTGTTGATTGTGGAGTAGAACCAGTAAAACCAGTACCAGGTCTAGGAACAAAGCCAGTAGTTACAGAAGAGACAGTAACTTCGTTTAAAAGAAGAGGACCTTGAAAATTAATATTGAATCTGTGATAACAATGCAAGGCAGAATGCCCAGCTTTGTTACATAGCTGACAAATTGGTTTGCCTTGGCCGTTAGACCTTCCTCTACCTCTTACTCTATTTCCAGGAATAAAACCTCCTCTAGCATTAGATGAATTATGTACAGTAGAAGCTTCACCATAAGAGGTTACTTGGGTTTAAAGAGGTATGTAATTAGATAGTGAACCAGTAGCTATATTAGTAACAACCTAACAGGTATGTTTCCTGCATGGAGATCAACAACTCTAATAGTTTGAGCTTTTTCTATCTTAACCTCATAACTTTCCAGAACAAGTTCTGTTTCTTGAAGAGAGACTAAAACAATCCTTGATTGCAAGTTCACAATAGCTGGATCGAATTCAGACCCCAGTCTTTCCAAGATATACAAAATTAGCTCTTCTATGGTAACAATATGTCCTGATGCTGCTAAGAAACCAACCACTTCTTTCATTTTACGAATATAATCACCAACCCTAAGTGTTCCCTTTTTAGTACTATGTAGCATATTCCTCAGATGTAAAATTCGAGATATTGATTTAGTGAAAATGCTATTTTCTAGAGTTAAGCAAATTTCAGCAACACTAATGAATCTAACAACATAACCAAACATAACTTCCGTAATTGAAGAAAGAAGCCAATCGATAAGAATTTGGTCTATTTTCTACCAAATCACAAACTTAGGGTTTTCTTTAAGTGTTACCTCATTCAAGTTTTCAGATTTTACCTCAACAAACAGTGCAGGACAAGCTTTAACTCCAGTAAGATAGGGTTCCAAACCATGAGTTCTAGATCCAGATAACACCAGTGATTTCTAGAAATTGTAATTTGATTTCTGAAGCTGGACAACATTTGGTTGAGAGTGATCTGAGCTGGAGTCGAGAATTGTAGAACAAAATCCTTGTAATCAAGAGATTTTTTAGAGGAAGGTTGATTTACTTTTGCTAAAGAACTCATCAGATTTGAGTTCTTTGCATTTATTTAAATTTCATTAGTGTTTGGTGAAGAGGAAAATGAAGGAAAGTTTTCCATTTTTGATGACACATGTCAAGTTGAGAGAAATTTTAAAACTGAATTTCTCTGATTTTCTATTATTGAGAAGATATGTTTGTTACAGAGTAGTGTCCTTTATATATACAACTATTAGCAAAATTATGCTTTTGATAAGGTCTTATAAAAGGGTAATAGCTGCAGCCAAATACTCTCAATCAAGTTGTAAGACCTGTAACTAATTAGTAACTAACTAACTAAACACAGGTTAATTATGAGCTGACTTGACAACATATGATTTGACTGACACCTTAGTCAAGGATTTTTTTCTCTAGAGCTCAGCACTTAAAATCTGAAGCTGCTCTATCAACAGACACAAATAACCTTTATGTGTCAATCTATATCCAAATTCCAATGAATACACACTTATTAAGTGTGATAAGCAAAATTATGCTTTTGATATGGTCTTATAAAAGGGTGATAGCTGCAGCCAAATACTCACAGCATTGTATAATCTGGTTCTAACTAAAACAAAACTTGGAAAGGAGAAGTAAATATAATAAAGCTGATGGCAATTGATTAAGCCAAGTAAACATCAGCACTTAAAAGCATTCCACCAAAAAGATAATAGCTTAGAGAGTTTTGGGAATTTTCCAGAGTCTAATTTTTTATTTTCTTTTCCTTTTTTGGAATCTTGTTAATTCATTTTATTAAGGCAGATTATTAACCCTCCTTCTGCATCAAAGTTTATTAGACTTGGTAAGAACTAAGAAGCATACTCTTTGAGGTCTACACAAACAACAACGTACCACGTCATAGAGGAGTGATTTCAAAACATTATTGTACTAATTAAAATACCGAATGTGGTAATTTAACAAATAGAAAAAAGTTTAGGAGCCAAACTGTAGGAAAAGTTGGTTCACTGATTTTACCCCAAACAAGTATGACTAACCATATCATTGTTTTCCAAGCACAACAGTTACCCTTATGAGGCAAAATCTATCAATAAAAGTTGAAGAGGGAAAACAAGTATGACCTCCTCTGCCATTAATGCCCCAATCTTGACTACGGTCCCTGAATCATTTGGGAATTTTCCAGAGTCTAATTTTTTATTTTCTTTCCCTTTTTTGAAATCTCGTTAATTCATTTTATTAAGGCAGATTATAAATCCTCCTTCTGCATCAAAGTTTATTAGACTTGGTAAGAAATAAGAAGCAAATTCTTTGAGGTCTACACAAAGAACAACATACCAAGTCATAGCGGAGTGACTTCAAAACATTATTGTACTAATTAAAATACCGAATGTGTTAATTTAACAAATTGGAAAAAGGAAAAGTTGGTTCACTGAAGTTACCCCAAACCAGTATGACTAACCATATCATTGTTTTCCGATCATAACAGTTACCTTACGAGGCAAAATCTATCAATAGAAGTTGACGAGGGAAAACATGAACATTTTGCTTATAAATGGAAAGTAGAGACACATAGAAATTTAGGTGTAAAAAATTCTATTGAATTACAACAAAGTAAAGTTATATATGCTCATGAGTAAAGCATTCAGAGAACAAGTTTCTGCAGAATTAAAGTTGTCAGGAAAAAAAAAGCGCATATATATAAACATCAAGGCAGGGTTTTAGAATGAGGACAATTCTGAACTAAATTTTCAAAAACTGAACTCTTATGTACATATAACTAAGCATGTCATTAAGAAATAAAGCAGTCCATTTTCAAACAGGCTTGCATATACCAATTAAGAAATAAAGCAGTCCATACAGGCTTGCACATATAGCTAAGTACCCCACGTCAATGTACCAATTAAAAATAAATCAGCAGTCAGACTTTACCGCAAAGTCATTCACACTCCGCAATTTAGCAGCTAACTCCTTCAAATCTTTAACTTCTTCCACAGGCCTGAATGGTGCTTCCTCAAGTGATGTGGGTTTTACAGGTTCAACATCCCCTATATTTTTATCCAGAAAATCCAAAACAAAGAGACTCTCCTAAACACATAAAGGAACAAAAGTAAGCAAAAGTATTGTACATATATTCTGGCAAGGATACATATACAGATAAAGTGAGAAATTTTTTAAGCTTTATGATACTCGAATGAGAATGAGAACAAATATGGCATACCATGAAAATCCAAATAAGTAAAGAAAAGCATCAATATCTAACCATCCTTCCACCAAATAGAAAATAGGAGAAAATTTTAAAACTAGTAATCACATAATGGTAGCATTTAAGGAGTGACTTATAGACATGAACCAGTATGGCAAAGAGAATTCGACATAGACATATCAAGTCATCTTTAAAAGATCTAGGCTGTATCCAAGAAACGTCATCATACGACTACAAATGATTCTCAGAGTGCATGAAGCTAGTCGGTATTAGAGTGATTCTGAGAGTGAATAAAGCTAATCGGTATTAGTCTTCAATGACTGAAAAGAACATGTTTTGCCTAATCTCAAATTCTCAATTCCCAAACCTAATAAGATCTTCAAAAAAAAAAAAAAAAAAAAAAAAAAGAGGTTCCTTTTTGGCAACAGAGAAAATGCAAGAAATCTGAAGTGAAAGGACTTTGCTTGAAGCTTACTTACACGAATTCCTCGATGGGTTTTGCTCACACTTCAATACCCAAGTTTTAGATTCAATCATCTTTCGAAACCAAATCACGAAACTGGTCTCGATCTCCTCGACGTGGTGGCGAGAGAGAAGAAGAAGAGGAGGGTCGGATAAGAAGAAGAAGAGAGAGAAATAGACGAACAAGAAGAAGTTCTGGAGTGGAGCCGAGGGGGAGCAACGGGAGAAATGTTTTTTAACTTTGAATAGGATAATCAGAAAACAAGTCCAGGTTCTTTTTCAAATTTAGGCGTAAAAAGTTATTCTTTAAGATTGGGTTCTCCCTAGAGATGGCAATGGGCCCGACATTTTCGGGTACCCGGTCCGGTCCGGCCCGAAAGGGGTGGGCTTTACCCGAGGTTGGCGGGCTTGGGCTTGGACCTGAGCTTGATTTTAAGGCCCGACCTCGGGTACGGGCCGGGCATGGGTACATCTTTAGGCCCGGCTCGGCCCGGCCCGTCCCGAAAATTTTAGTATTAATTTTACTAATTTACCCTTATACTATATATTTAATTACAATATTATCCTATATATATATCTATTTTTCCCAAACCCTAACCTCAATTTTTATCTCATATTGAAGGTTTAACATGTTAAAATTGCCTTTAAATGAGTTAGATGGGTTTGGTTCAACTTATAAAAGTGGATTTCACCATAACATATTATGCACAGCTGAAAAGTTAGTATAATCAAATATTATGGAGTTTTAATTGCTCAATTATTTGCGGAAATAGCTTCAATTAATATTTAAAAACTATTTCTAAAATTAAAAATAAAAAAAATTGAAATTTATTAACATTTAAAAATAAACATTATTAAAAAAGGTGGGCTTGGGCCGGGCCTATGGTTATAAAAAATCCGTCGGACCGGGCTTGGGCTTTGCCTATCATACCCGTAGCGGGCTCGGGCTGGGCTTGGGCCTGTGTCATGAGGTCGGGCTTGGGCCTGGGCCAAGGGGTACCCGGTCCCGGCGCGGCCCATTGCCATCACTAGTTCCCTCGAATATTTAGTGTGACAAACAGGTACATAGTTAATCTTACTTTTTCTAAATTTTCTATTTGGCTTTCAAATTAATTTTCTTCTTTTTTCTTGTTGATTTGACAAACTTGAAAAGATTTGATATAAGTTTTAATCGAATCAATAGTCTGATTTTAAAATTTGCAAAATGTGGTGTTTTATGTTAAAAGGACTTACACAAAACTTAACAATCAAGTGTAGATAGAGTACTGTAGTTTAAAAAACAAATTGAAACTTTCGAAAGAGTTGAAACTAAAAGGTAATCGAAAGAGCAGACTCTTTCACATTCCTAAGTAACAATAATGACAACCAATATGTAAAAGTCTTGTAGGAATTATTTGTAAAATAATGAAAATAACAATAACGTAATACCAACTCAAGTTAACACATTGAAGACTTATTATTTATTCTCTCAAGTAAAAACTCCTTTACAAAGGTATCAAACCCTAATTCTTGTTAAACTAGCGAGAAGTCCTAAATACTAAACTTATCACAAACTATGACAAGTCCTACTTTAACAAGACTGACAAAATTAGACTCTTAATAAAACTAAATAAGCAGTTTAATCTCTAACAAATCTTAACCTATTATCATTAATTATATATTTCATCAAGAAAACTCTATTTCTCATCTTCCTTCAAGCCGGTAATCTCCCACACTATTTTTAACTATCAATTCGTTGATTGCGAAGCTTAGAGTGAACAAATATGTGGTATGGTTTAAACTTTGAGTGAAGATGGATACAAAAGAGTGTTGTTATATAGTAGGGATAGTAGCGTAATAAATTATATATGGCGGTTATTTTGGTTTACATATTTCATTAATGGTTCCCTGTCAAATTACTTATAGTTTTAGCTATTGCTATTGATAAAAAATAGTACGTACACTAGTTCGCATCAATTGTGTCACATCCTTAATCCGAAAGAGTTATTGGATGGTGGTCTTCCTATGGGTTTTTTTTTTTTTTTTTTTTTTTGAAAACCTGCCAACCCAGCAGGTTGGCTGTTGGTAACCAGATGGGTTGCCTGTTTAACCCTAGGGTTAGCCATTTTTTTTTTTTTTACAAAAATAAATTTCTTATTTATCCTTCAAATATGGCTATTTTAAAACCGTTTGAGGGGTCTTTTTAGTAATTTTCTTATCCCATTTTTCTATAAATAAGGCCTAAACTTCTCATAATTCCTCACATCCAATTTTCTCTTAATTCTCTCATCTTTTATTCTTCTTCAATTGCTATTTGCCTTTGTTCTAAAATTCTCTCAATTGTCAATTTACTTTCATTTTAATTTTTATTACTTTTTGTAGTTTTCAATTCCTATTTTCGAATTCCAATTCTCCTTCTTTAATTCTTTTATATCCAATTTTTTTTTTTTAATATCTAGAATGGATAAATATTACCAACCCACCATCAATTTTGATGATGAAGAAAATTATCCTACTCCTAGCCCCCCTGAATTCACAAACATAGTAGATTCAAGCAGTCCCCTTTCCCACTATCAGAATCTGATTCACCCATTCCTAATCCTCCCTATGCTGCTAGAGCTCCCACTCCCAATGATTCTAGAGGAGGTTATTGTAACACCCCACTTGAGGTACGTAGTTACTAATTACTGTATTACTTAAATGTTCATTGATTTAGCTTCAATTGAGTTTGTATGTTGTCATGGTTGGTTGGTTATCCTTTAATTGAAATGGTATGTTGAGTTGGTTGAGTGTTTTCCTTGAGATTGGTTGAGATTTGAGGAAGTTTGGAATTTCAGTCTTCGCCGGGGAGAAGAATAGTCTTCGCCGCGGTGACGTTGGCTTTGTAATTGCGGTGTCAGCCCTGTAAGTTTTCGCCGAGGCGAAAGAAATTGCTTGTCGCGGCGATGGGATGACATAAAAGTTTCTTAAGGTTTCTAGAGAATTCTCCATAGGGGTAAAATGACTATTCTACCCCTAATTAGCAGGAAAAGTGGGGAGTAAAATGTAAGGAAATTTAGTAGAGAATGTGTTGGAGATGAGGGTGCATTTGCAAAGAATTAAAGGACAAAGATGGAATTTTTAAGGAAGAGCAAGGGCAAAATGGGAAAGTTTGAATGCAAATTGAGCTAAGAAGGGATTAAGTGTAGTAAAACCTTCATTTCACCCATTTCCACCACCATTCTCATTCTCTATTTTCTTCCCATCCTTCATTCAATCTTCCAAGATTTCTAAGGAATTTTAGGGAGCTTTTGGGCAGTTTTTAGTAGAGAGTTCATCTAAAGCATCCTAAGGTAAGGATTCTTGCTTTAGATAAGAATTTGCTTATGATTTATTGAAGTCTTATATTGTTATTGTTGTTGTTTTAAGTTGTAGAGAGAAACTAGGCTACAAAAGGGAAGGAGAAGTGTTAGAGAAGCCACTTATTCACAAGGTAAGTAAATCCAATCCAAGTTGAGATTTAAGAACTCCTTTGAGTAGAGATTTATGTATGAATATGTATGGATCATGTTTGTTGAGATGAGATGAGATGAGATTATAGTTATTGATGAGTATTGAATAGATTGGAATATGAGAAGTGTTGAGATTTTATGATGTTGATTTGAGTTTTGATTGAAGTTGAAGGAAGTTTTGAGCAAACCCTATAGGAGTGTTTTCTTTGATAGGAGTTTAGAGTGTATGAGGGAGTTTTTCTCCCATTTTTGGATGATTAAAGAGAAGAGAAAAGTTATTGTTAAAATAGAGTTTTGTATGCACATGAGTTGTTTGATGAAATGATAAAGAGAAGCATGAGTAAGAGTAGAAAGCCTTAATTTGTGCTACATGGCATAATTGCATTTCATGAGTGCATTAATGAGCATGAGTCATTGATGCGTGTTTCCTACAACATGCAAATGTAGCAAGTATACTAATCACACAAGTAATATAATGATGAGTGAGTATCGTTCCCACGAGGATTGTTAGCTAAGCACTAAGTTTTCTACCGTTTTCAAGTTGGAGCAACCGAAATCTTTTGGATAATTGGGAGAAATTTAACCTATCACTAAAACACAATTACTAAACTGCAAATTAACTAAGAATGCGAGATGTAGAACACGGATAAAAATCAATTCAATTAAAACGGGTAGGGTTTTGACTTCATTCGGATTTTATGGGTTGAACCTAAAATTTTACTAAATTCATATTCATATGCAATGGTTGTAAATCGAACTCACTAAGGTGTTAAACATACCCTCTTGGGCTATGTTTTCCTATTCTTCCTTATTAACCTTCCGCACCCAACAAATTGAAAGTTAACAATTCCAAACTCGTTAAGCATAAGAATCCTACTGATTTCATTAATTCTTGAATCTATCTCTAGCATCCAATACTATGATGGTGATTACCCAAGACGCCTAACATGATTCATTTCTCAATCTCATCATGTTCATCACAAAAAGCATTAAAACTCAGAGCAAACACACAATCAAAGCATAATCATATGAACATAACATGATCAATAATTTAACCCATTAGAAATCCGAATTACAATCAAAATCCTAACCCAAAACGGGTTAGTTCATGGCTAAATTAACACTACAATTAATAAAAACGAAAATAATCAAATTCAACATAATGCAAAGTAAGAAAGGGAACAAGAAATCTCCCCAAATGATGAATCCCTTGGTTCAAAATCCAATCTTCACCCTTCCAATTGATCAATCTCTCCAAGCTAACTCAAAAGCAAAGCAAAAGTTTCTAACCCTAATTCCTGGACGACCCCTGGCAAAAAGGTTAAGTGTCCCTTTTATACCTCGCCCTAAATTTCTCATAAAAACCTGCACAAAGTAAAACTGTGTGTTTTACAAAACTGAACATTACAATTGTCGCCACGGCGAAGAAGAAATCTCGCCGCGGCGAAGAAAGAATCAGACTTTTTCGTTTCTACCGTACTTCACCGTGGCGAAGGACAAATCTTCGCCGCAGCGAAGCTTCTTAAAGAGTTCTGAAATTACAGAACTGCCACTTTGCTTGAAATCTTCGCTTGATTCTTCGATTCTCGGTGCTTTCTCCTTGGAACAAGCCTCATCGTGCTTTATCCTGCTTCAAAACTCTCCTAATTTCTGAGGTCCACTAAAATCTGAGTAAAAAATGTCCAATTTTGTCTTTATTTGCTCAAAATGTCCATTTTAACCTGAAACACAAAATATAAAGAATTAAGCAACAATTTAGGTCAAAATGCACCAGAAAGTACCTGAAATCT